AAGTCTTCTTTTGAACAGCTTTTGAAGGGTTGATGGGAAAAAAGGAACCATGTCTTATGGTAGATTTTATAATATTCAAAATACATTCTGCCTCTCCCTGTAAAGAAATGATAAGCCCCTAGCTCACAAATGTTGGACTTGGCCATGTGACTTGTGTTGCTTCTCCTGACGGGAAAAGTATAAGGACCACCACTGCCCTTTGGAGCAGCCGCATGACTTGCTTTGGTCAATGAAATACAGTGTAGGCCAACGTAATTATGTAAAGCAGATACAGTTAACCAAATTAGAGGTGGCAGTTCATCCTTGTTTTAGTTGGAAAACAATCTATTGAGTAAGTTTGTTTCAAGGAGTACAAGAGTATTCAGTATATATCCCAAGTATAGAGCTCTTTTTATCAAGCTTGTGCTACCTTAGCTGAAGTCAGAATTGAGGTTAAGCTCACTAACAAGTCCAACAGAGCCTTAAAGACTGCATTCTAATCATTACTGTTTCTCAAAATTAGGTGGCCCACCTATCATTAACATATATTAGTGTTGCCAATTTTGCTCTAATTGTGAGTTTGATTCAACTTGTTTAAATCAATTTTATTGATATATAAGGATACCTACAATGTATCACATGCAGTTTCAGCTAAAAGTTTAGTGATTGGTCTGGAAATGAAAAATTGATGCTTGGCTTTATTACTAATACTGTTTACTTTACTCTTGCACAGTAATCTGCCTCCACTTAAGTGCCCAGAATTAGGAAATGAATTATCATTGGTGACCTCTAAGTGAAATTGTAAAGATGCCAGATATCTGAGCAGTTTGCATGTACACAAAAAAGGAGAATAGTGTACTTCCTTTCCTTCTTTCTATTCAATATGTGGGCTATTCCTGCCCACTAAGTCCCTTTGGAAACAAATTTATACATTTCTTGCAATTAAGAAGTGCTATTTCTAAAAGGAACTAAGGAGTGAACTTTATATATGCCTTATTTTCTGAGAATACCACAGGCCCTGCCTGCTGGGCTCCCCCTTTCATTTATTCCTTGTTTTTTGGATGCATTTAAATTTGAAATTACCTTTATGATCACCAAAGCAAATTGTCTTCCTCCTTAGAAGACATTGCTCAAGCAGTCCCTGCTTAATGAAGTGTCTCAATTCCAAATCTATGTATCTGCCACTGTGACAAGAGGAAAGTTGTCCCTTTTTTACATTATTATCAGTTAAAACTTCAAGTGTAAACAGCAAATATCACGTGTTTATTTTGAAAGAATCTGTATTAGGCAGCTTTCGCATTACTGAGACAAATTACCCACAAGTTAAAGGAGGCAAGGTTAATTTGGCCCACAGTTTCAAAGGATTTCAGCCGACCCCAAGGCAGGACCATCATGCCTGAAGGGTTTGCTTTGCTCATGGTGGCAAGGAAGCAGAGCTGGGGAACAGCACCAGAGAGGAAGGGCCAAGGAGCATATAGTACCAGAGATCACACCTTCAAGACCCACCCAAACACACCCAGAAATGTGCCTTACTAGCCCCCTCAGCAACTCCCAAGCCAATTAAATCGATGAGCTTAACCATCAGAGAATTTACAAAAAGACCTCAAGAAACTAGAAAACATAATCTCATGGCTTATAATCCAGTTGGAGAGAGGAAAGGCACGTAAAATATGTAAAAAGGGGGAGAGCCAAAGCACAAAACACATAGATAACAATTCAACATAAAATAGTTCATGCCACTATTTCCAAAGAAGTTTCACCAAAATGTCATATTCATGCCTACAAAGAGAATTGTTTATAGTAAGATAAGGTGACAATGGAGTTACATGGGAAAGATCGATCTTTAAAGGGAATTTGAGACGAAAGGGCAGCGTTCATTCAAGCAAAGTAGAACAGGAGTGAGGGGCGAGCCTTGTAGGTAGAACCAGCAGTCAACCTTTTGGACTGTGGCTTCTTGCAGGGTACCTAGCACACAGTGAGATTTAGCAAATAGTGACTGAAGGAATGGGTGGAGTGATAGGACAGCTCAGAAAGAAACCCCTTTTAGAAATGAGACCAAAACAAGGAGATTTTCCTCCAGGTGTGAAAACTTTTGTATCCCAGCTATGAGTGTGGGCTTTATCCTTTTTGAGACTATTTACTGTTCAAGGCAGGCATTCCCTATGAAAGTAGTGGGGAATTGGTCTTCACTTTCCAGCTCTTTGGTTTTAGCAGTCTCCACCTATCTTCCTTCAAGGCAACCATAGATGGAAGTTATCGTACCACCCTAAGACATCTCAGAGTATTTATTACTGTATATTTCATTGGGTAATTAAATGCTGCAAGCTTTGATAAGTCCTTGAGATGGCTGATTTTAATGTGTCGACTTGACTGAGTAATGGAGTGCCCAGACATTTGGCCAAATGTAATTCTGGCTGTTTTTGCTAGACTGGTTTTAGATGAAATTAACATTATTTAGGTAGATTGAATAAAGCAGGCTCCCCTCCCCAATGTGAGTGGGTTTCATTCCATTGAGGGCCCAAATAGAACAAAAAAAGCAGAATTCTGCCCCAAGTAAGAGAGACTTTTTCCTGCCTATTAGACTTCAAACTGGGAGTTGTAGTCTGTATCTAGATGTCCCCTAAATCCTCACGTAATCCTAGGTGGGACCTTTGGAAGTAGTATAGCATTGTAGGAGTAGTATAGCTGGCTTGATGTTAGGGGGTGGGGTCTGGTCAGAAGAGGCAGGTCACTGGGGATGCACCCTGGAAAGGTTTATCTCCCCATCTGGCTTCTCCCTTGATGCTCTCTGCTTCTCCCTTGATGCTCTCTGCTTCCTGTCTGCCATGCCTCCTGTCTTGGAGCCATGGACTGAAACCATGGACTGAAACCTCTACACACTGTGTCAAAGTAAACCTCTCCTTTTAGTTGTGGGTATCAGATATTTTGTCCCAGCAACAAGGAAAGTGAGTAAATCTTGCCTTCAGACTTCAACTGAAACATTGACTCTTCCTGGATCTCAAAATTGCTGGCCCTCAGACTGGAAGAATTACACCATGGGCTCTCCTGGGTCTCCAGTTTGTGATTCACCCCGCAGATCTCTGGACTTGCCACCCTCCAGAAATGTGTAAGCCAGTTCCTCAGGGAGCCCTGACTTATACTGTTATCTTCCTTTGCTACCAAAATCTTTCTATGTTGCCCAGTTTTTCTGCTTGCTTATATCTTACTTTTCCATCTAGATTGTAAGCTTCCTGAGACCTGAGAGGAGGAGTTATTGGAGGTATTCTGGTGGAGGGCAGCATGGCTACACTATGCGATTGCGTAGATTACACCCTGTACAGGGTCCCAACTGATAAAGCAAAGTGGAACAAAACTCTAGCACCAGATCCAGTTACCAAGTATGATCCTGGCACAGGCTGCACCCATCTGGAAGAAGAGAAGCCTGTTTCTCATTCTCAGAGGCATTGTATGGGGAATCCGAGGCCCCAGACTGCAGCATGTTGTGGTGGGCCCAAGTATGAACTGTGAGCATCCCAGAATAATAGGTTACCTGTTCTGTCCAACAGTCGGCAGGACTCATCTAGCTCCACCTTACAACAGCCAGAACTAATTCCCAGGATTTGCCATAAATGTTCCATAAAATGCTCTAAAAGCAAGTATACCATCTGTGCACTTGGGTTGAGAAAAATACACATTATACCAATGATCAAGTTCCCCTGATTTCAATATTTAAAAATGTATCCATAAGGTTTCTTAATTGCATGCCCCAGGGTCCAACTCTAGATTAAATAAAAAGCTATATAGTATATGGAAGACCTCATGGGATCACTGGGAAAATTGGCAAAACCTCAGTCAGAAAACAAGAAGGAAAGGTGCAAGTTGTGTAACAGCGAGGATCAGAAACAAAATCACACATAGCAGCATCCCCAATCCTTTTGGCACCGGGTACTGGTTTCACGGAAGACAATTGTTCCTCAGGCCAGGGTAGGGTAGGATATGGTTTTGGGATTAGATTCTCAAAAAGAGTGCACAAACTAGATCCCCTCCATGCACAGTTTACAGTAGGGTTTGCCCTCCATGAGAATCTAATGCTGCCACTGATCTGACAGGAGGGAGTTCAGGGGAGAATTCAAGCAGTGGGGAGCAGCTGTAAATACAGAAGAAGTTTCACTTGCTTGCCTGCAGCCTAGTTCTTAATAGCCCTTGGGCCAATACTAGTGTGTGCCCTAAGAGTTGGGGACCCCTGACACATAGAACCAGCGTGGAACCACATAGAACCTGTCACAATCACTACACACCTCACCCGCCTCAGCAATTGCCACTACCTGCCTCCCATGACTTCTCCACCACCCCTACTTCCTTGCACATCTGTCTCTGAGTGCACACTCTGGCAGTTTTTCAGCATTTTCAGCACCTCAGTGGGAGGAAGATTCTGCTCCCCATCTGCCTCCTAAAGTAGGGGATTCCTCAAACTCAGGAATGGTTTTGGACTTGGCAAAGCAAAAGGTGAGAATGTTCACTTCAAGACCATGAAGGTATATATATATGAAATCAACATTGTTTAGGTAGATTGAATAACACAGACTGCACTCCCCAATGTGAGCTTACAGGATTTCATGGAAGATGAGGATCTCATAGAGCTCAGCTGTAAAGTACTGAATGAAGGCAGGTTCACACACAGAATTTAAATTCTCAGATAGGAAAATAAGTTTCAGCCAGTTCTTCAGTTCTGACAGGTCTCATGTACTACGGCTGGCATTCATAACAAATGCAAAGCAATAACACACATATTTGGCAAACTGTTTCAGAAACATTCAAAAATGTTCCCTGATGGTTAACCTGTGAGAGTTCCTTATAATATAGCTAGCAAACACTTTTAACACAAAGAAAAAGCACAGATTACTCATTGTTTTTAGTTTGGACTTGTACCAAGGCTTATAATGTTTTTCTAATTTAGATAGAAAGATAGATAGATAGATTACACATATGTATCAGCAAGTATATTTTCTTTCTTGAAGTTTATTTTCACAAATCTAGCAGAAATGGTTACAGTTCCACCCAATTTGCAGAATTTTAACCACTACACAGAAAGTCTCTATAAAGAATCATTGACTGAAGGCACGCCTTACCGAGGTCGAAAGTTGCGCAGAACACGCCCAATCAGCCCACGCTCTGGCAACAATCCACTGGACACCCCCCCCCC